GCCTCTTGTTTATATCCCAGCGACTGGATGATTGACATCACTCCTGGACTGATTGACATCACTTAAAAGCAGCCCTTGTCACACTGTCTCCATGTGCCATATACATAGTTCTTCCTTTGCTGTTAACTGTGGGGTGTTTTTAAACATCAAGTAATGCAAAAGGATCTTTGACGACAGACGCGGTATTTAAATAATAGCAATATTTCAGCTCAGAAAGTTGTCTTGCGCTGAACAGTGGGATTTGGGTTTTAATTTGTCTTTGTGTGTATTTATGAGTGCCACCTACATGTATGCATGTGTGCTCAGATCTAAGCTAGGGGTCCGTAGTGGTCACAAGATGGAATTACATCCCCTGAAGCTGGAGTCACACACAGCTGTCAGTTGAACTTGGGTTCTCTGCAAGGGCCAGCCGTCTCTCTAGAGCTCAATGGAGATTTTAAAGCAAAACACATCCTTCATCATCCTTCCTGATGTTATGTAGGCAAATCTTATCCCTGAGTTGGATCACAAGCCTCCTCTGAAAAGACCATATTTTTTGTAGGTTCCTCCATTGTTTAATTTGGGGCAAAGCATATAAACCCTAGATGACAGATATTCATTACATATAAACTTGGAGACCCTGGACTCTGGTTGTATGGGAAACTTTTTATATATGGATTATATATTTTTTCTATTTTGAACATTTGGGGAGTATAACATAAGATGGGGCCTTTGTTCCCCCTCCCTCTGGATCAGTATTTTAGGGAATGGTTTATGCAAACGTCAACTCCTACCTGTTTGCTAGTCCTCATTGTCCTATGTCACTTTCTTCCCTTCAACATATGTCACTAGTAGCATCAACATGCTGGAGGAAATGGCACCCTTTCGGTGGAGAGTAAGAAAACAGAGTTCCAGGTACAAATGCGTCTTTCAGATTGGCTCACCAGGGGAGCCATGGACACGCAATAGTTTTCACTGTGGATTTACAAGTGTTTTATGGAGAACCAGTGTAAGGTACTACTTTGTAGAGTCTATATGTTACTGTTAAGTGGCCACACTTTGAGTATTAAATCTACCAATTGCAAGAATTGTTATAAATGAGTAAGAATTGATGATTTATTAGTTAGTCTGGGACACGGAAAGAAACAAAGAAAGTAACATTCCAGGATTTTAGGCAAGCAAATAAGAGAAGAAACAAATCATAAAACAATCATCAGTAGAGCCTTCAGTGTCTGACAAAATCCAGTTTTTTGGAGATTCGGATCCTGCCCCAGCCTGACATTCTAGTTTTCTCAATCAGAGATGGCTCCTTACCCGTGCTTGGTTCTGTCTGAGTCACATGTCTCTTACATACAGATTTATGCATTGAAAACAAACAAAACAATGAGAAAACTCACTGAGACCAGCAGACAGATGTTTGAGTCTGAGCGTACTTGGCTGTCTGTAGCTAGATCTTCTCTGACTTTCCATGTGCCAAAATTTTCCACTGTAGCATAGATAAACTTGAGCTAGGTGTTGGTTATTTGAAAACGGAAGAGTTTTGCTCAGTTCATACTGTCTAACTTGGGCACGGCAGCTACGCTTCAGTCTCTGAGGAAGACTGGTGAAGTAGTCTCCAAACGTTTTGAGTCACAGAACACTAGGCGGATGTATTAAAATGTGTCTTTTCTTATTCTTTCACAGAGAAAGCCCTAGGGCCTATCCGTGTGATACACTGTCACTGAAGTCAGTTTCTCTCCAGCTTGTTTTTCTCTGCTCACATTGAATCTGTCCTCCCATGGTATTGCCTGTATTAGCTGTCAGTTATGAAGACAGACGGATCATAACTTCCCTATGCCTCTCTAGACAGAATTTATAACTGATACTCCATTTTTGTGTGTGTGGGATATTCATACATACATTGATAAGTATTCTGAGTTGCCGGCTGCCATTCATCCAGTGTAAGTAGAACACAGTTTTGTTTTGTAGTATTAACGGTTGTCCTAGTTAGGTTTTTGTTGTCAACTTGACACAAATTGAAGTCACCAGAGAAATGGGAGCTTTAGCGGAAAAAATGCCTCGATCGGATTGGCCTGCAGCCATGTCTGTAAGAGATTGCCTTGACTGATGATCGGGAAGGCTCAGTCCCCTGGGCGGTACCATTCCTAGACAGGTGGATTTGGCTGCAGAGGTGAGCTAGCTGAGCGTGAGCCAGCGAATGAGCCACTGTTCCTCTTTGGTTTCCTCTGTTTTCCTTTTAGTTCCTGCCCTGACTTCTTTTAGTGATGAATTGTCTCCTGGAAGTATAACTTAAATAAGCTATTTTTTCCCAAGGTGTTTTTGGTCAGAGTGTTTTATCACAGAAATACAAAAGTAACTAGAGGATAGCTTAATTTTCTTTGATATGCATATTTAAAGACACTCAGAGCGTTCTAATTGATTTGACAAATGACCACAATTTTCATGACTATGAAGCTTTTCCTTAAGTATGTAATTATTGGTAGTTTATTTTATGTGATGGTGAATATTGTACTGGAAGGGAATGTTTTAAAATTTTTATTGGTGTGCAAATAGTGGGTTTCATTGTGTATACCACTGAGTTTTGCTTATGTTATTGTCCTTATTGCCCCCCACTCCTTGGTCTCTTTTTTGTCTCAAATATCGCCCCCTTCTGCTTTCGTCATTTGAGCATGTGCCCCTCTCTCTCCCTCTCTCTCTCTTTGTCTCTCTCTCTTTGTCTCTCTCTCTGTCTCTCTCTCTCCCTCTGTGTGTGAGTGTGTGTGTGTGTCTAGATTCTGCAGCTGAGAGAAAACATGATGTTTTTCTTGTGAAGTTGGCCTATTTCACTTAGCAGGATGATCTCTAGTTATGGACGAGTTTTTCAAATTTTCCTTATAAACATTTCTTTATCATAAAAAACTGAGTGTGTTTATACATAGTGACTGATCCCTTGAATCAAGGTACTATAGAGTTCGACAATTTTTTTTGGCCAGGAAAAAACTATACATATGACATATTACATACATAGTATAAGTTGCAACCAAGGAAAATAGCGTATACAATTTATAAGATTCCTCTGAATGTTTATTTTCAGGGAGTTCATCATTGTTGATTAATATTTTCATTGAGAAAGAAAACATCAAATAAGCATTGTTCTTTGGCTTGCATCATGATGTCTCAACCACATTGACATGGGATTCGATTTCTCCTTGAGCCACCCTTTCTTCCTCTGAATAATGACGTAGAGGGTAGAGTCTTGGCTTTCCTCACAGTTTGGCTATGAATGGCAAAGATCTCTTCACACTGATGCAAAGATGTGCATGTAACCTCCTGGATTTTGAGACATCCCAAATGACAGAGACAGTGCCATGAGCGCAAGGTCAATGGTACACTGATGATGTAGAGGGGATACACATGTGTGTGCGTGTGTGTGTGCGTGCACGCGTGTATATGAATGTGTAGAGGCAACAGGACAAGTTAAGGAGGCTCATCTGACTAGCCTAGCACCCCAAAGATACATTGTCTCTGCCTCCCCAGGGCCGGGTTTACAAATGTGCACCACAGACTACACTTGAGTTTTCTATTTACATACGACTTTCAGGGAGTGCAAACTCTCATTTGTTGTGACTATTTCTGTGCATACAGATGGGGAGCATCTCTCATTTTACAGATGGGAAATTCAATGAACAGTGTCCCCAAAATGTCACATGATGAACCTGTTCAGTGGTTCTCAACCTTCCTAATGCTGTGACCCTTTAATATGGTTCCTCATCTTGTGATGACCCCCCCAACCAAATAATTATTTTCATTTCTACTTCATAACTGTGATTTTGCTATGGTTATGAATCATTATAACATCTGATATACAGGACATATGAGAAGTGGCCCCAAAGGGGTCACGACCCCATAGGTTGATAATCACTTTACTGGGGTCTCTTAATCACCACCAATAGAAACCAGCTGTGGATTACAAGAAGAAAGAAAATTTAGTGGCTCATATGATTAGAAGGCTCAAGACTAAATGAATCCACATATAACAATACAGGAGTAGGTGACACTTGCAATTCTTTTCATAGCCGAGTAATTTTTCCCTGTGTTGACATACAGTATAAAAATTGGACATTGGTACTAGTGAAGTCAGCTCCTTTTTGCTCTCATAATTCCAAATATAGAGGGAATTTTCTTCATTATTTGAACACAGTTTCTGGAGAGGCCATTGAGGGGTGACTTGGTTCTGGCAGAAACCCTTGTTGCTGTCACTTTCCACAGGACAGTATATGTGGTTTAGGGTGAATTACTGGCACCTCTGTTGTGAAGAAGGTTGGTGACGTGACTGATAGCTCTAAGAGGTTGGGTGAGACTTCGGTCAAAGTGTAGGGAAAGGCTGAGATTAACTTGGGCGAGTGATAACGGTGGTTATGATAACACGCAAAAATATATTGTATATTATGTGCTCCATTAGTTACTGCATCTACTTTGTCTCTGAAGTGGGGAGGTAGGGCAGGCAGTGAAAAGAAAGGGAGGAAGGTCAGAAAAGAGGAAAGCATCAGGTGAGATGGCGCACCCCTTTAGCCCCAGCACCAGGAAGGATGGAGGATCAAGAGTTCCAGACCACCCTGAGCTGCATAACAAGATGATGTGTGTGTATGTGTGTGTGTGTGTGTGTGTGAGAGAGAGAGAGAGAGACAGAGACAGAGACAGAGAGACACAGAGAGAGACAGACAGAAAGAGAGAGAGGGAGAGAGAGGGAGAGACAGAGAGAGAGAGAGAGGGAGAGGGAGAGAGAGAAAGGGATGGAGAGGGAGGGAGAGGGAGGGACAGATAGAGAGGGAGAGAGAGACAGACACAGAGAGAGACAGAGACAGAGGCAGAGAGACAGAGAAGCAGAGAGAGAGGAGAGAGACAGAGACAGAGGGAGATAACACTCTTCCAATCATTTTATTTACCCAGTTGGCTAATGACTTGTCTCGTTTCTGGTACAGTCAAAATTTTTCTAAGTTGGAGTCCTTTCCTTGTTATGACTTTGTATTTTAAACTTCTAGGTGGACAAAAAGATCGTAAGAACCGAGATAGGAGTTCTTCTGCGCCTCTCGCACCCGAACATCGTAAGTGGCTCTCACCTTGTTGTTTCAAATCATTTCTAGAGCTGTAGAAGGATCACTGTCTTCCACTGTCCCTGTTGATGGGGGGGAGGGGTTCTTCCTGTCTCTCAGGCAATATAGCCTCGCTCAGGGCCGTACCTCACCACCTACAATCAGTGGACTAACAATACTCACCATGCCTCTTCATGCATGAAAGGCGAGAAATTGGAGAATTTTATATTTGCTCTAATGGAACACTGGCTTTCTTCCTCTTTTGTTTGCTATCTCTCTAATATGCCTTTGCTGATAAGGCCAGCAAAGGAAAGGGATTGCTTTCCAAAATCCTTTTCAGCCTTTGAGAGAGTGTGTGCCTCAGAAATAATGCTAAAATGCAAATAAATGGTGTGCATGAATGGGAGGACTAAATGGTTTCCAGACCCTGCTGCAGTCTGTGTCCAGCGCAAGCTTTTTGGAATCAGTGACGTGAAAAAGAACAAAATCATTTTCACAGCAGCAATTTGATTTTACAAATTAAGCCATCTACCTAATTTTTTTTAAAAACCTATTTTATTTGTATGTATTGTTAGTCCACTTATTCTGAATGGGGGACTTTCTCTGACCTGACACAGCACCTTGGGATGCACACTATTGCTCTGTCATCTTAGGCATTGAAGGAAGGTGGGAGTCAGCAGCTGTTGATGTTCTTTCTTAATGTCCGTCTGTCCCTCAGATAAAACTGAAGGAAATATTTGAAACCCCCACGGAGATCAGTCTGGTCCTGGAGCTTGTCACGGGAGGAGAACTGTTTGACAGGTGAGTTATGTCTACAAGGTAAAACAGAAGATTGGCTCTGTGTCACCAAAAATATTGGAAAGGAAAAATCTCCTAAAAGTGTTCATAGTAAAAAGGATTATATGAATTAATATATTTTCTTAAGATAAACATTGCAAAGAATGTTGAAGAGATAATAAGTCATTAAAAAAAGCACTGCAACATTCCTTACCTTCAGAGACATTCATGGTTTAAAAAGTAGAATTTTCTAAAATCACTTTATATTTCAGATAGTGATTTTTATGAGAAAATACTTAAAAATGTGTTCTCTGTTATGATCCCAACACTCATAAAAGTCAGTGTTCTTCAAATGATTATCTTTAACCTACTCTCTCCATCCAGTATACGAGTCTATGTAAAAAGTTCCATGTTGCAGAGTAAAGCATGCTTTGGTTCATGGTTGCCAATTTGAAAGGGTTGCTCATAGCTCATCAGTCAAAGAAGATGTTTGAGAATGGGAGACAGAGGATACCCCAAATCTGGAAGATTACTTACGGGTGAGACCGGCTCTAGGCTTCCATAGTTGTCCCTCCCCCTGCCTACTCAGGAGAGTTGTGGGCTGGCTCTGGGGGACCCTCGGCTGTGCTCATCAGGGTACCCCGCAGAGAATGAAAGTAAAGATGGCAGTGTGAGGCGGGTTTGTAGTGGAAAGAAGCTGGTGTAAGGGTGTTGGTAAGAGAATGGTGGATAAGGGGAGGGCAGAAGACAGGGTGCCTGGATCCTGTCAAAAGCTCCCTACGTCTTTGCTGGATGAAGGAGCAACTGTTACAGTGAGTGGACTCTGAGAGGAAAGGTTTGTAAAGGGGAGTGACTTTGGTTTCTGGGAGAGGAACACTAATGCCTGACTCCCACCCACAATGGACTTGGATATTTGTGTCGCTCTCAGAGTCACATATTAGAGCCGTAACTCCCCAGACAGTGGTCCAGAAGTAGCCCCTCTGTGAGGAGAGATGGGTTTGCAGGGAGCTGCTATGGGTGGAATTCAGGGCCTTATGAATGAAGCCCGCAGGGAGCGCTCATTCCTTCCTTCAGGCTAAGGAAACAGTGAAAGGGCTGTGTCGATAATAAAGCCCCCCTTAGAAACAATCTGCTGGTGTCCTGGTCATGCATCTCCTAACCTCTAGATCTGTGAAAAATCAATGTCTATTACATCATAAGACTTACGGTTGATCACTTTGTAACAGCCCGGATAAACCAATACAAGCAAGTAGACTTTAAATCTGTGACATCTTGACTATTTTAATAATAAGTAAGGATGTGGGCATGCATGAATAACTTTCTCATGGCAGTTTGTTGATAAACTCACAGTTCTGAATCCTGGCTTGACCACTCAAAGTAAGCTAATCTAGGGCGATGGATTCACTTAACATCCCTGAGCTTTGGAACGAATCTGAAGCTATTCTGTGCTGCTAAGAAATCTTAGGCACAGGACGCCCACTCTAAGTATGTATCTTCTTCTAAAGCTATCTTGCTCCCATGTGCTCAGGCAAGATTTCCCTGGGGTATTATCAGTATTTATTTATAATGGCTCCCTTAATAGCAGCACTTTGACTGAATATTTTTATGATACGGTCTTTGTCTAGGTACAGTATTACATTTATAGTAAGATCCTACTGACTGTAGAGCCATGAGAACTCTCCAAGGAAATCCTGCATATTTATCTGCTAATTATGCGCTATTAGATAGAAATCTTGTGTTCTTTAATTATAAATAGTTACAGAATAAAAAAGAGCCCCACGTGGAAGCTGCCTCTTAGCAGGAGTACTTACGGTTTGCCTACCACCTCTCTTCATGTGAGTTAATTGTAATCAAGAAACTCTTTTTCCATTCACACGAAGTCTTCATGAGAGAATTTGGGGTGCCATTTAATCTAGCTCTAGGAAAAAATAAGGATGAAAATGCTGTTGATGAATTCCATTTGCAGAAATAGAGGAAGTATTCCTGTTTCATAGAACGCCAACGGAGAGCCCATAAAGTACTCACCGCCGCAAGCTCTCAGTGGCTTTAAATTAGCTTTCACCTCGTCTATTGTTCACATTATTGGCACGGCTGACATAACTAGGCTTCTCCTTTGTGCTCTGTAACTCACAGCTGTTCTTAAATGTTGTCAAGTTGAAATCAATTAGAAACGGTTAGCCAATCTACTGGCTTTTTTCTTGAAAGTTTAATAACAACCCCCATATTGTTTGTCTGGGTTTTTTTTTTTTGTACACTTAGGTCAAGTTCTAATTTATTGAATTGCAATGATGAGACTTCATCCCTGGTCTAGTGATGGCTCTAACACTAACTTGTGAACGAATACAGCCAGAGCAGACGGATGGAAGGATAATTGCATTATTCCCTTAGAGCCATGGTGGTTGTGTTTTATTAGTAAAAGATGCGTTCTCCGATGCTTATGAAAAACTGAACCGTCAAACGCAGGTGGGATCTGCATTTCCTGTTGAATCCACATAATTCTGACATGACGGGGGGGGAAAGCCCCAGAGTTCAGTTCTTCTCAATCTTAACTCTTCAAACTGTAACACCTGTCTCATTAGCTTCCTCTGGTGCTTTCCAGTTAAGTTTTCCATTTTTCTCTCTCAGCCATGATTGTTCTTTGTCTCACAGCCCACCAGCAGAATCCCCAGGCTCCTAATTAAACGTTTTCCCCCTAATTTTTTTGTCTTAAAACTCCAATACCTGAATTTCTTGCAAGTCCCTGTGTCCTGGCATATCTTTTATAAGGTTTTGCTCACCAATGCCCAACCACTATATATAGATTTCTGGAACATAAAGCTTTGAATGTTGACTGTTCCAAGAGAGCAGGTTTCCTTTAGTCTTAACGTAAAAACAAAGCAGTTGAATTTGGACAGGTGCTGGGCTGAGTCAGTGGTGACCTCCTGAAGAGCCCTCTGTCTTCTGTCAGCGGCTGTCAGTTCTTTAAAGGTTCCCACTTCCTGATTTTAGCAGGGCCTCTCCCTTGACAGCCCTTGCATGCTGGTCTCTGCCCCTCCGCTCTGCACAGGCTCTGGGCCTGTCAGTTGGTTCTTCAGCCCCAGGAAATGCCCTCAGAGGAAGAGCAAAGGCACCCGAGGGCAGGCTGCACTGCTGGCCTTCTTTCCTTCCTTCTTGGACCTTGTTGCCCTCTGGTGTCTTGAAACAGAGTTTTAAATTAATTTTTTTATCATTTCATTCCTAAGCACCCTGTTTACATCATTTCCGCCCCTTCTTCCTCTGCTCTTAACTCCCCATGTCCCGTCTCACTGGCTCCCTCTCAAATTAATGACGCCTTCTTTAGTGCTCTCTCTCTCTCTCTCTCTCTCTCTCTCTCTCTCTCTCTCTCTCTCTCTCTCATTCATTTAGCGTTCCTATGCTCACACTATTGGCTCACATACATGGCAAAGTTCCTTTGCTCCGTAGATGTCTTTAAAGACTGACCACTTGAGTTTGGATAACCTATTAGAGGACTCATCCCTGGAGAAAACTGATTCTTCATCTCTCCGCCTGGAGTTCTTCATCTAGGTGAGGTCTTCTGAGATTTCTCCAAACCATATCAGCATGCCATTGGGTGTGGTCACTATGTAGGTCTTTTTCAGACAGCCATATTCTTGACTCTCCTTCTCACACCCGGAAGACACTATCATCCTGTTCCTCTTGTTCTTCAACCCCGTCATCCCTCTTCTGTACATGTGCCTGTTGGGGTCACTTAATCTCTCTAATTTGACTAGCTGTGGATCTCTGTAATCATCTCCGTCTGCTCCAAAAAACAAGCCTCCTTGATGAGCGGTAGGAACTCCGCTTATCTATATGTATGAGGATCAATATTTGGAGCACACGTAGGAAAATGACAGTAGAAGGTTCTCCTCTTGGGTGTGTGTCCCCGCCAGCCACCGGGAGTTAGGTTTATTTTATGTAGTGTTTTTTCATCTTCTTGCCAGGAGCCTGCCCAACCACCGTTGCTGAACACAGACGTTCCTATGTGGTTTGAAAATCCTTTTTCACCAACACTAGCGTGTTTTCCTGTTATAAAAAGTTAACTTTCAGGGGAAAGCGGGATGAAAAGGAGTTCCTTTGCTGTGCAAATGTGGAAATTTTGAATCAGTGAAGATATTTAATGGCTGAGCCACCTCCCCAGAATTAGTAAGATAAATTGTCTTGAATTCAGCACACACTCTGTCTTTTAGAGGCTCTGTTTCCATGTGATATCTTACAGTCTTTCTTAAGAAATTCAGTCTCACATCATAGCCAAAAGAAAGAAGTGCACCTCATTTTACTCACGGAAAATTCAAGTCATATGGTCTTGTGTAAAGCTGTGTTTAGTCCATTCCCTCATCAGGGTTTGTGGGGTCTTTGCTTTTTCCAGGGACATTTGCTAAAGAAAATGTTAGTGTGTTGGAAACTCATGCTTGAGTTTTTTGTTTCTGACTCTAAACTTTTCTGGGCTTTCTACGCCTTCATACATCCTGTTAGTAAATCACAAAGTGTCTAAAAACAAGGAAAGGGGTGATTGTGTTTCATGCACTCACCCTGTGAATTGCTGCTAGTTACCTGATCAAGACTAGTATGTCATCTACTTTAGTTTTTCCAGACTTTAACGGATACAACTGAGACTAACTGAACTTCCAGGGAAATGTCATTACAAAGATTCCAGACTAAGAACTACCTCTTATAAGAGGGCAGTGGGGCTGCTAATCTGTGTTCCAGGAAGTCCAAGGCCTTCCTGAGCTCTTCAGCTGCCGTGCCTCTGCTAACTGCCTGGCTAGAGACGCGCCCAATTCAATTTGTGACAATTAACTCTGGGAGAAGCAAATGCACCAGAGTCATGCGTTAACACCAGCTCCACAGAGAGAAATACTTGGTATCCACGTGTTCTTATCCTACAGTTAGAAAATAAAATAACATGCCGGGCGGTGGTGGCGCACGCCTTTAATCCCAGCACTCGGGAGGCAGAGGCAGGCGGATCTCTGTGAGTTCGAGGCTGGACTGGACCGACAGCCTCCAAA